TGTAGCTGTAGCAGTGGCCTCAACTTTAAAGACAATATTTGTTGCTCTGGAAGTAATTACTATATCTAAAGTGGAGTGTTGTTATTCAGATGGAGATTAAACAACAGGAATAGATCAACTGAAGACTTAAGGTTTTTAAAAAGAGATTGGATGTGGCCCGTAGTGCCATGATATAGTAATTGGAGTTGGATCAGGGGTTGGACTTGATGATCTTGGAGGTCTTTTCCAACCCAGTCTATTCTATGATTCTATGACTGTAAAGATGGTTCTTTGAGGATTTGTCACTGTGTCTATGTGTTATGCATGAGTGTGCAGTCTCTTGAACAGTGCTGTCAATTGAGGTGCAAATGTAAATTGAATTTCCTTGTCATGGTTAGCAGGTGACGAACGTTGGGGGTGGACAGGGAAGGGAAGTCCAGTCTAGAAGCTTTCCTTTTACCCCTAGTCCTGGAGGGGAAGGTGCCCTCCCCCTCCCCTTCCCACCCCGTGGCGTCCCATGTCCCCCAGAGAGACCAGGATGCCAGGAGCAGGCAGGGAGAGATTTATTGTTCTGGTCACTGTTTAAATAGTTCTTGGGGGAATCACAATGTAACCAGTGGGAGTCCACTAACCAATTACAAGAAAGGGTTAACAACCAATAGGGAGACTTTCAGGTATTTCTCAGGACATTCCAAGGTACAGTGAGGGATGTTGGGAAAGAGAAAGGTTTACACAAAGAGTTACAATCACCATTTTGGAAGCATGTTCACTTTAACAACTTTACAAACTTCTGCATTCTTTTATTTACTGCAACAAGCAAGTTCAACTCCTGTATTTTTCTTTTATTCTCTCTGACATCAAGATGTATTCTGAACTACAGTTGAGTTGAAGTTTCTGTATGAAAGAATATTGAAAATTTATTACTCACTTTTGTCTTGATTAACTCTTAATTTGGAATATAATTTTTATGCTGAAAAGCTGAAAAAAGCAAATGCCACATCAGAGGTTACACAAGGGAATTCTATTGCTCACCTTTGCAGAGTTCTGTTCATGTATTTACTGTCAGTAAACTGTGAGGAAGTGTCAGGGACTTGATCTGGGTTACAGCAGATATGGAAGTCAAGATAGATTTCCTAGCTCCATTTAATGTGCTGGGGGAAGAAAATGTTCTTCATAGACATATATGATGTTTCATATCACTGCATTGGCTGACCTGAATCTTTCGAAATGCCTGTCTTGGGCCGTTGGTAGCTGCTCTTAGAGCAAGGTCAGGTTATCCCAATGAAGGTGTGACTGAATAACAACACATCGTAGAGTGTTTTTGGTTAGCAGCGCTGCATAAGTGACTACTCATCAAAACTTACTCTACCAGCACTGAGAAAGCATTCTCAGGCTCTTTCAGAAAAATGCCAATATATGAAACATAATGTTCACAGAGCTTCTTGAAACACTACATACTGATCTTAAAAAGTAAATATTTGATTTTTTGGGGGGCAGTGTATGAGTCTTTTTCACTGTGGGAACAGATGCTTCCCCTACAGTTTTTGCAGGTTTTGAGTACTGGGATTTGGCAGTGATACACAATTGAACTGATTATGACAGTGGAGTTTCTGAGATCTTTCAGTCAGTATGGACACCACAATTAGTTCACTATTCTTAATCTGAGAATCCTCAGTTAAGGTGGATTTTGAATGGAGCCAGCTGGATGCTGCAGTTGCCTTGTGCCCTTCTAACAGACACATCTGATCAAAGAAACACTGAGCTCACCCGAGACACCTGAATGTCTGCCCTGAAACCTCATGCATCAATGAGAGTGGGGAAAGTAAATTTGTTTTTGGGTAAGTCACTGATTGCTCCTCAGCTAAGTAGTAAGTAGTGAAAGGAGTCAATAAAGAGAATAAGAGGAAGTGAGAAGTACTGGATAAACAGAAAAAAAGGTAAATCCAAAAATTCCTCAAGTTTTCTAACTTTTTTTGGACATAAATAAGACTAGTAGTATCAAATGACAAGTGAAGAAAGGCTATGAACTGTGCCAAGGCAGCAGTGTTTGTTACATCAGGTGATTATATACTCTATGCTTTCTCTCAAGCAGTGGGAGAGCTGTGAGTTTTTTGTTGGTTTGTTTGTTTTTGTTGCCTGTTATGGATAACCAGATTCTCAGTTTTTGTTCATGGTGCATAAGTTCTTTGACTACATGGAAACCAGGAAACTCCACTTATATTGCTAGAGAAGCTAATCTGGAAATTCTTACTTGCGCTTATATTGTTGCATCTTGGAAAAAGCACGCGAAGTGCAACTGCCCAGGTTCTGCTGATGTAGAATATTTATAGAGAAGATTCCATATTCTACCTGGTGAGCAAGTTGTTTAAGGCAGCATTGTTGTCGTATTCTGTCGTGTTCTCTGTATTTTTTTTTTAGTAGCAATTTCTTTGACATTTGATTATTTCAGTGGATGGGTTAGTGAATGTCGATTATAAGGAGATAAATTAATATTTCTGAAGCCCTTGAAAGATGATAATTTATGCTTAAGGTTGCTTAGGAAATTCCTGAGGAGAACTGAAATTCACTAGCCATACACAGTGATAAAAGAGGATCAAACAAAGCTTGCAATCCTTAAGAACATCTATTTTATCTACTCCTAATTTTGTATCCCATTAGTGTAGCATTCCTTTAAAAAGTACTGGGTTAAGCATTCTCTCTCTGAAAGGAGGAGGGATATTTTTCCTTTCCTGCCTTTGCTTCTAGGCTTCTAGATGGAGCAGGGTGAGGGGTTGTCCAGTGGATGATCATATTGGAGAGCTTGTGTAGTTCATGCAGAGACAAGAGACTTCAGTAAGGACCGTTGAGAAGACAGTCATACCTCAGAGGAGATAGAAGGCAGAATCAGAGATGATAAAAATTGGAGAGTTTGCTTCTAGTCAATAGCTAAGTGGAATAGTTGTTCTAAGCATAAAGGAGAAAATAAGTTTGCTAAAATACTGTTAAGTTTTTTTGAGGTTGTGAAAGATGCAGTCTGGTACATATGTGTATGACAATTTGTCCCTGGCTTCATTTGGAATGAGGTTTGAAAATAAATGCAAAACTCTTGAAAGCAACAAAATGCTGCTAAATGCCAGCTGTCTCCTGCATTCTTTTCAGCTTCTTGGTTGGGAAAGGATTTGTAAAGATCACACAACAGGAATCTGAAATTATGGGGTTTATATGCAATTAAGATATAAATATTGTTCTCATCTAAAACAGAACCAATATATGATGAACTCAGCAATCTACTGTAGGCAGTGGAAAGCCAGAACACTGTGTGAGGGAACTAGAGTTAGCATCCAGGACTGGAAATCTGAGGATAGATTTTTTGAATAAAGGAGAGCCTAAGAGGCTGAGGTGAAAGGTGGAAGCTTCAACTCTAGTGAGGGAATGACTCAGCGGAGATAAGGATGTCAGTTGCAAAGAAGTGGATAATAGATATAGAAAATGTTGCAAACCTACACAACAAATTTTGTGTGCCTCTTTATTTTCTTCATAAAGCATAATCAAGCTCTGCAAGTTCACCAGTATAATGAAAATATTTAAAATAATGGCAGCATAAGCTCCTGAAAGAAAATAATTTGAGAAGAAGAATTAAAAAAAAGTCAGTAATGCTAAATCGTGAGAATGTTCTGTAAGGAAAACTTTAAATAGATAGAAATGGAACTAGAGGGATAGACTTCAGAGCTATTTGTTTTACAATTCTGTAAAACTGCAAGCAATAGAAAAAATATGATTGGACAGAATATTTTTAACTAAAAGCTTTGTTAAGCTTTTAATTGAAAAACAAGTAGTTAAAAAAACCTATAAAATGTAATGCTGGCATTTTATGTGTTCATCATTTCCTTCTGTTCAGCTATTTCTTCACTGGTGTTCTTTTGAAGCTAAGTTATCCACCATAGAACTCTGATGAATATTGACAGCTTTTTTTTCAGCTGGAAAAATCCTTTTGCCTGGATTATTGGCAAATATTTATTGAATTGATATCAGTTCTGTTGAGAAACTATAAAAATGGATTAAAATTCACATACGGGATATATTAATTCATTTATTTTTAATACATTTAGCTTGCTTGTAGATAAATATTTTAGTCAATATTTTACTCAACAATGATAAAAATGTTGTCAGCTTTATAGTGGTTTTGTAGCAATGTGTGATAATTTATCATAGGAGACCCATAAAACTGCTGCATTTTCATAAAGTGAAGGTGGCAGTCATGGGCTGAAGGAATGTGATGAATCAGCTTAATGTACTTCATTAAACATTCCTCTTTTGTTGGAATTTTCTTCTTCTGAACTAAACAGTTTTTTCTTAAATACATCATTGAAAGGAGACTGTATGCTATAGACCTTTTTTTTTTATCTGAAACTTTTATTCAAAACTTTTCACATTTTCCTTTCCACATTCACGTTATGATTATTCTGACACCTACATGTCTTCTTATCAATTGTGAAAAATTTAATAGGCACTGTCCTGCCTATTAAATGCATATCCTGCTAATTTTTAGATCTGATTGTTCCCCAGTACTCCCTGGCTATTAACTTTATGTCTTTTTTCCCTTTGGAAAGTGAGTATTATCCTCCATAAAGAGTTGTGAGGTGCCATTCTGTGTGAATGGAGTGATTTGTGTGGTGCTGCTTTGGCAGGAATGCAATATGTTCCATCCATAAGGAATTTAAGGCCAACTGCATGGAGGGATAGGGGATAGAGGTTGGAGCGATTGTGGGGCAGGAGGGTGAGATATAATGTCATGGATATGAATGCAAATTGTAAACAGTAGAGCTAGTGGCATACTTTCTTATACTGTATGTGGAGCAGTCAGCTCATGACAGACGTGTCAAAGCACCTAATTTTGCGCTTGTCCTGACACAACATTTTCTTAGACTTCTGCACCTGTATTGCTACACAGACTTTGTGTAATGTTGTTTGATCTTTGTTAGCACACGTGACAGAATCGTTGTTTATCTTCATTCCATGACCAATTGTTTGTTTTCTTTAAGAACTGCCTGAGACTACCTTAACTGAAGAGAAAGTTCTAGAGACAGAGGCATGGGCCAGGCCTCTGGTGTACCTGTGGCAGACAAGAGTACCCAATTTCAATGCTGAAAAAGAATACAATGCAGCTTGTGCAAAAAAAGAACCTCATTGTGCCATTTGTACTCTTCTCATGCCGTACTATAAGGTAAGCCAAGATTCTTGCAGCTCTTTCCTCTGGGTGAAGCGTGAAATAGCTGCCTGGCTACTTAATTTCCAGTAGATTATAAAGAAGGTAAGCTTATGCATTTCACTTGTAAGAGAGGTAAATAAACTCAAAATTGTTAAAATTAGAACTGGTACTCTGTTCCACTGCATCTCCCCTTGTTTGCAGACAGTGCATGCCTTTTTACTACCGTTTATGCGAGACAGGCGTTACTCTGTGTGTGCTTGCTCTTGAAATTTCAGTTTTTGAGATGGTGAACTCTTGATAAGTTTGTATCTTCTAGCTATTTCCTTATATGCCCAATCTTCAAATACTTTTTATCAGAGCCTCTATGGTTCCTTCCTTCAGTGCTGAAGAAGTGTTTTCACAGTACTTAGGCCTTTCAGGAAAAGTATTGCCACAGAAACAGTCTAATGCAGAGCACTATTTGATACTGGCTTGTGGAATTACTGTGTCAAATGTCAACTAAAAATGCTGTCGTAGTACTATGTTACTAATTCTGAAGCTTCTAAGCTGGAATTTCCTCAGCGTAGGAACCAGGAAAAAAACACCTATTGCATTGGACTGGGTTAAAGGGCTCAAGAGATACAGTATCATTGAACACCACTGCAATAACAGTAGTTTGCAGTCTAAATTCTATTCTAGAGTTCACAGTTATTTTGAACAATCAAGGTAGAATGGCTGTGATAAATACCTAGAAGCAGTTAATTTTCTCATGAAACTGTTATACTGTTGGTTGAAATACTGGGAGGGGAGGAGTAGTTTCGTCATAGTCAAAAGGAATAATAAGACTCTCCTTTCTTTTACTTAAATTTTGTTTATTTTCCAGCCAGACAATCATGATGAAGAAGGTCCTACTTTCAGGGAAGCAAACTCAGCAGAAACATTGAAGGCAGAAAATGAAAAGACTAAACCTCTTATTCCAGAGATGTGTTTTATTTATAGTGAAGAAAACACTGAAAACTATCCATCAAATGCCTTTATTGAAGAAGATGGAACAAGTCTTCTGATTTCCTGTGTAAAATGTTGTGTACGGGTTCATGCAAGTAAATAATCTAATTGTTCTCTTGGCAGAAATGTAATTTTAGATTTTCTTGTATTGATAAATAATAGTTATTTAGGCTTCTAGTACATAAAAGTACTTGGTGAACATTTCCATATGTAATGCTTCAATCACTGTCTTATTTTTGAAAAATACATTAGATTTTCTGTTACTTTTTAATGGCTGCTGTGAAAATATTGAAGAATTAACTTTCCTGGAAATTTTCAATAATCACAGACTTCTGATCCTTGTTTCTATTCTGAGCTATTAAATTACTCTTTTGCTTGTCATATTTTAAACCACTGTGTGATGTTATTATGCCTTTACTAAGTAGTCAGGGTAGAATTCTGCTGGAGGACTCGAGAATATTCCTATTAACTTTAGTAATTTCCTTCACCTTGCATTATTTTTTATTACAAGAGTTACTGATGAATGCATGGACTTACTGCAGTAACTTCTAAAGGCAGTACAACTTGAATAGGTAACTCTAAGAAGTCCATATGATATTCAGGAATGTGGTATAATTGCATAGATGTTAATATATTAAGTAAAATTTTTACTGCAGGGAGAATTCACATTTTGCTGTTGTACTGACTGAACTAAGAAATACCCTGTTATTTGGGCTTTTGGGTGTTTGGGGATTTTGTTTTTTTGTTTTGCATTTTGGTTTGGCTTTGGCTTTGTGTTTTTGGTTTTCTTTTGTTTGGTGAGGATTTTTGTTTGTTTTGTTTTGTTCTGGTTTTGTTTTGGGTTTGGTTTTTTTGGTGTTTTTTTTTTGAGTTTTGGGAAGATATGTTTCATAGACTATGGAATTAGCAGACAGCCTTGATTGGAAAAGTTTCCTTTGTCCCAGGATATGTTTTCTGTTATTGTTTATATGCAGTTTAATTGTATGATGTTATTAAGAGACAGACAGAGTATAATAATCAATACAGCTCTCTTGTTCTAGGTTGCTATGGTGTTCCTTCTCAAGAAATTCATAATGGATGGTTGTGTTCTCGATGCAGAAAAAAAGCCTGGACAGCTGTAAGTTTCACATGTTGCTTAGCTATCTAAAACATCAGAGATTAAGCAAATTATTATTTAATTTATTATTATTTAAATTATTATTTAAATTCTTATTTAAATTATTATTTAAGAAAAAAATAGCACATGCGTTATTTCATGTAGAATGCAGCCTGCATATTTTTTTCTGAACACTCCTGCTGGGGAAAAGTTATTTGTAAAATATGATTTGATTTCAATATAAAATGTAATAGCATTTTAATAGACAAACTTGGTATAGTTTTGTACACTCATGAAAAAGATTGGCTAACAGAATATAGTTACGTGAAAAATGTTGTTCAAGGAAAGAACTGAAAATTAAGATGCACATAAGAGAGAGAAAAAATGAGATTTATCCTAAATAGGTATAATCCAATTTTCGTCTTTCATTGATTACCTGAGTACCTTGTTACAGCTTCTTTATCATACAGTCATGAGTTTCAGGATCTACTGCAACATATTTGTGACAAATGTTCTAGAGTAAGCGGAAAGTTGACGGGAAAAGCACAACTCTGTTCTAGCAAGTGACAGGTTGCTATGAGCTCAGAATTTTATTTTCAGTTAAACCAACAGGGTCAGAAAGCCCCGCTACACTATCAAAAAGTTTTATTAATTTCTTTTCAAGGAAGATACAGCTATGATGTGCAAGTGTGGGAGTTCTAAGGAGAACCATTCTTATTCATGAAATACCATGTATGACAGCAATAGGACTGAATGTGTTAAAAAACACTGAAAAATTTAGTATGATGCCTTGGAACCTGATGTTAACTTAATATATAAAGAAAATGCATTTGAAGGGAAATTTGGAGAGACTTTTTGTCTTTTGACTATAGTACACTTTTTTGAAAGCAAAAGTCACTAAAAAAAAAGTAAATCAAAATTCAGTCTTATAATTTATTAATGCTGTGTTGTAGAAAGGATTCTAAAATTGTTCTGGAGTTTGAGAATATTTTCCAAATATTCTTTGAGTGAAAAGGACATTTAGATAGCAGTGGTAAGTCAAAGATAAGAACAGTAGTGAGGTGACTGACTTGGCTCACATTCACTGTGGGTCAATAGTAGAGGAACTTGATAATTTGATATAAAAAGAAAAATGTTGGAGAGAAAATTAGAGCTTAACTGGAGTTTTTCTTTGGCAAACTTTTTTTTGGAAAATTAACATCCACAGAAAACATTAATTTGAGAAGAATTATTCACGTTTTACTAAATATGCTTAGTTGTGTTATGAAGCATACAAGCTTCTGAAAATAAGAAAGATCCGAATTTTAGGGAAAGTAATTTTAGCCAAATCATTTGAGGACATGAGATGAGGCAGTAAAAAGATATCAAAATCATACACAAAATAGCTGAGTGGAAATTATATGTGATGAGGTTTTAGAATTGGATTTTTGCAAAAGCACACTCTAGGAACTGGAGAGAAGGCCTAATGTATTCTTGTAATTTTATACCTTAGGTAAAAAGAATGTAATAGTGCTGAAATGGTGCACCGTTATCACCGTGCAAAGACTGGACAGTATATGTTGGCAACTTGGACAATTTATTTGCCTATTATATATTCAGCTGTATTGCAGTGATGTTATGTATGTATTGATTACTGTACAGCTGAATCACTAGTGCTGTAGCTCTGTTTTGGTAACATGAGTGAAATAAACTTGTAACCTAAGAGAGCTCTTCACACAGACATGTTTGTAGAATAAAGTTACATTCTTAATACCTTAAGTGATTTTTAAGTTGGAAAGTTTTAATGAAATATCTGAGATTGAATATACCTCACTAATATTACGTTTACTTGCAAACTTGTCCTCCAATCTGCTATCTTGTAGTCTTTGTTATTACATACCATTCACATGTAAATGTGAACGGTTCATTTTCACCTGAAAGACATAGCAGTGATAGATAGTAGGTATGTGTTACCTGAGTTAAATAGCAGAAATCCAGCTGTTTCAAGGATGTGAATAATGCTTTGTTATATACTCATACATAAATGATACCCAATTCACTTTTTCTTTTTTCATAACAGTGTCTTTCAAAAGTCTTGAGATGCTGAAGCAGTCTTAGAGCTATGCAGTGATTGCTGGAGTTTGCAGAGCTTAGGTGAGGTGATAACAGCTTTCTAAAAAGGCAAGAAATGGATGACCCGAGGTAGTAGGCGGCAGTAAGCCCATCAGGGATACCAGGAAAAATACTGATGGATCTATCAATTTCTAAAAATCTAGACAGAAAACAAAGAGAGATGTATTTAAGACAGATCCTGGGAATGAGGAAGAGAAAAAGATTTCGTGTGTCCTAACTTCCAGATGCTTTTGAAAGTGTTTTAAATTCAGATATAGCAGTAACAGAAGACTTACAGTGGAAATCAATTATTGCCAAACATATAGCAATATGGATTTGCTTTCAACTCTTACTGTCTCAGGCCACCAGCCATCATTCTTGTCAGACTCTTAAAATCATTGAGAGAATGATAAAAATTTGGGCATTGTTTGCTGATTACTTTTCATGCCCTTAAGATATGTAGAAATCTAGACTGGTCTTCTTTAAGTAAGACATTTAAGATGATTGCAAAGGAGCTGGAGGAGTATACTTCCTGTGAAGATACCAAAGTGTTAAACTATATTGAAGAAATAGTGTAAAATAAATCATATGGAATTCAACAGAAATAGGTACAGTACTTAGGATTCATCAGCTATGCACACGTAAGATGAGAGTCTCTTATCTTAGCAGTAGCTCCGGTTGCCAACTGCAGTTGTGACCACTGGTCAGAAACTGAACATAAGTCATTAGTTCTACAGAACCTTAAACATAAGGATGTTTAGGCGTTGTAATAGAAGCAAAGTCTGAAAAAAACCCCTACGGGACAATCTTTCTGCTCTCTTCAGTTTTAGTGAGAGCGCAGCTCAAGAACTGCATCTCATAGTGAACATAAAGGGCTGCAACTGAAAATAAACCAAAATTCTTTTAATCATTCCTAATAGATTTCAATCATGCCATAAGGGAGGGTTGAAAAGATTTAACCTTCTTAGTATAGCCAGGGGAAGGCAGAAAGAAAAAAGGTTGCATTCTGGCATGTAGAATTATGTGTGTACTACTAAGAGTAATACAATCAATTGCCATTCTCCCATGTTTGGGACCAGATGACCTGCAGAGGCTTTGAGTTGCATCAGCTGAAGTTAATAGCAGAACATTTTTATTTCTAAAATTAGTGCACCATAAGAATAGGATATAGAGAGATTTTATAGAAGCTACTCCTTCACAATCTTTAAAAACTTGTTAGATAAACATTTTTTCAGGAATAGTTGAAGAAGATTTATTTGGGGCAGAAGGATAAACTAGACAGTCAGCTTTTTTTTTCTATAGTTCTCTTTTACTTGTTTAAACAGCATAATTGCAAAAAGTTGTGATTGTAGTTGTCATTGGAAAAAAATTACCGGTTTGGTATGCAACCTATATATATTAATATATTTTTGCTTGTATGGAACCTTATTCCTGACATCAGCATGATTAGAATTGCTGATACTTATTTGGTCCTATTTGTCATTTTAGGATAATATTGCTGTCCCTTCAGAGTTTGGACAATAAGCCTAGATTATCCTAACAGCTTTCACTTCAAAATAATACAATACTTTTATGTAATCTTGGCATTATACTTAAGATAGTGTGGTTCTCTTTTAACCAATCTTTTGTACATCTGTAATAAAAGACAAGTGAATCAAATATATTATCCAGAGTACTATTTTCCCTTTTGAAAATCTTCAGTTTATCAGGTGGTACCAACCTGATAGCTTTATGTTCTGTGCTTCATTGGAATTAAATGAATATGTTTATTTTCTGAATAAATTTTTAATTTTTTATGATTTTTTTCATACAATCGTAGAATACCAGGTTGGAAGGGGACTTCAAGAGTCATCTGCAGTAATCCAAGACGGCTCAACACCCTGTCCAGCTGAATTTTAAGTGTCCAATGTAGGCAACTAACCACTTCCCTGGGGAGATTACTCCAATGGCTGATAGTTCTCAGTGTGAAATTTTTTCCTTTTGTGTCTAATCAGATTGTCTCCAGGAGTAACTAGTACCCATTACCCCTCATCTTTTCCATGTGACTCCTTGTAAGAAAGGTATTCTCCATGTTCTTTGTAGCCACCCTTTAAATACTGGAACTTGATGATAAAGCCTACAAAGCCTTCTTTTCTCGTGGTTGAACAAACCCAGTTCTCTCAGCTTTTCCTCACATGGCAGGCTTCCCAGTCCTCTGGTCATCTTTATGGCCCTTCTCTGGACCTCTCCATCCTGACCACATCTTTTTTGTATAGTGTGGACCAAAACTCAACACAGAATGAGTTTTCTATATCTCTTGTTATACATATGTTATTTTATTGTATTTTAAATTGCTGTATAGTACTATAAGTCTCTCTGGAGAGGGAGGTGAAATAAAAAATGACTTATTTGCATGATCTTTTTTTTTTTTTTTTTACTGTAGGGAATATAGAGTGAGTGTATTTTACCTTCCAACTGACACATTTCAAACTTCAAGTTTCTATATGAAACAAATAAAATCACATTCATCTATATTTTTGTTCAGGATAAGCTAGCTAAAAAACTGCAGCTGTTGCAGAAGATCTGAAACAGATTTGACTCCGACTCCCTGTGGGAATTATGTATATACTTGCCTTCCAACGTTCAATTTTTGTATCAGAAAAGTGAACAAAATAAGAAGATTTAATTATGAGGAAATACTTATTCCCTGAAAATTCAACTTCCTGCATGCCTGAAATTGTTTTCGCTCCTCTTCACATTGATTCCTAGAAGGAAGAGATTTAGCAGAAGACGACCTGTCTGAGTAATTCTCTTCTGGATAAGACATGAAATCCTGAAGGGAAGGTCAATTAGGAAACAAGGAAAAAGAAAATTTTATACAATGAAAATACAATGGAAGTTAGGAAACATTGGTGCAACTTTGTTTCAAAGTTCAGAGTTCATTTCTTAGG